AGAGCTCATGTGTCGCATTCGGTTCCGCGGCATTTTGCATTTTCCTGACTGAACGCCTATCACTGGTAGAAATGAACCCCCTTACAACTCGCACATCCCAGAGGACTTGATAAATACTTGACTTTGTAGCAAGCTCCCATTAGGGTCAAGCTTTGCTAATGGGTAACCGGACACTATGTTCTGCACTACTTACCCAACTTCTTAGCCGCCATTAGCTTGCCGATTCCGCTCTTGGAAGTGGACGACTGCGATACGGAAACGCGGGATTTCATCGAGCGAATAAAGAAACCGTGAAACTTCCTGCACATATCTGTTGACTCCATATAGTGCACAATCTTGAAGAGATTCACTTCTGTCAATCCCAACTGAAACAAAAACACTTGATTAGCACACGGGAGGAAGCAGTCAAAAGGAAATTCAGAAACAGCAAGTCTAAGCAAGAATATAGACCGATTTCCCGGAAGTTTTCGTCGGAATGGGCTACTTCAACCTCAAGTTCACTGAAAGGCTTCCAAAATGCGAAGTACAAAACGTCGACAAATATTTTCCTCCTCTCTCTAGAAAATGATGGTACCAAGTATTACCTAGTACGAGTGATCGGAGAATCTGGATGACTGCGGACGCACAGCGGGCCGAATACCTCGGCCCAGCCCAATTAGCTCGAAATAACTAACTCAAAAAAGGCCTTTCCAGATGATTTTTGGAAATCAAACGGATGGCATTAGGCAACCACTCTAGGATGCGCCACGCAAGTGCCAACAATTCGATATCCGCCATATCGATGTATTTCAGCGTATTAGAGCTGTACAATGACTTGTAGGCGGTAACCGTTGTAAAAAAATTATGCGAACAGGTAGATGCGCTGACTGGTTAACCAACCCAAGGCTCTTCTCCCTCCATGGGTTCACTTACCATAGGCATTATGCAGAATTGATACCCCATTCCTCTCTCCACGATTGTCTTGGATGAGGACGCCACCCACTAACACGCTTTCATCTCTGCACTCAATATGGTATTCTTGGAATCTGGGACAGCATCTGTTCAAGAAAAAAGCGAGTCCAACTAAAAACTTGAATCCCGATTGAAACTACACCTTTGCTCGGAGTAATTTTTTCAGCATAGCAGGAGCCGTAAACGAAACTCATGACAATGGAGCAAGGCCTTGAATTGTATAACGATTCTCGGTGTACGTCGGAATTTCTTCCGTAAAGAATGATCAAGAGCTCACACAAAGCCAACAGATGCCTTATATACAAGAGGTTCTTAAGTCGAATCGGAATCTATGAAAAAGTGTTCTATTTAGGAGTTTAACCAAATTTCTAGATTGTGATAAGTCATAACTATTGAATCCTTTCTGAATTTACGAATTTCTATCGGGGAAATGCGTTCCATATACAGAGACAAACGAATGAGTAGGTTTTCGTTAAAGAAAAAGGTAAGCTCTTTTTATTATATGATATAAATCTAGGATAAGCTTAACAACGCACTTATAAGTGTCCAAATACTCTCGTATCAAAGAGAGCGCAAGCGTGGTGGATACAGAAGTAACCTCTGTAGAATATAAAGACCCTAAAAAGTAGACGAATCAGAAATGAGGGGTAATTGATCAAAAAAATAGAGGGGCACTCAGAGTAGCCCCAATAAGAAGTCTGGTTTGACTCCTGCAGTAGTGAAAAACGGACCGGTATCGGTCTCGCCAAAACATTGTGGGCCTCATCAAGGACCAGAACGTTCCCCTTCAAGTCGATTCCCCAAGCCGCTCGAGTTGACGCATGAAGTATCACCTGGAAACCTAACCTTTTTTGAGGGTGAGGGCAACATAAATGACTGATGGACAATGCATTTGCTGACACGGGGAAGTCACTTAATCTTACAAAGACAATAATTGTTTGAAAGTCCTTTTTTCGCTCTCCTCGATTGCCTATGACGAAGCGTTCAAAAATTCGATAAATAGTCACTCAGTTGGCACTATGAGATCAACTAAGAATACCTAGAAATTCTTATCGGTTAGCGACGATTATATGTGGCATTCCATATTCATGCATTAAAGCCTCTGAGAAATGTCGTCCCTGATTCCGTACGGAATTGACTTATTTCAAGGAACTCGAGTGGACCGGGGGCTCGAATTCACTCACCTCGCCCGCCAACCAGCTTCCAGCCGAAAATATCATGATTCGTATGGAAGATAAAAATAATGACACCACGCAACACAACGTTACTGAAACTTCTAATTCTCAGAGGGACCGCTAGTGAAGCTTTCTATCATCCGGAATTTTGAAGTGAAAATATTGAATTGTTACTATGAAAAAATACTTTTCCGCCCAGGAGCGGTTCCACCTATTAGTTTATGAAATTTATCAAAAACCTCCAAAATTACGTTACCAATAACGAGAAGTGTACCTGGTAAGGAAGCAATACCAACTGACAGAGTGGCAGAGAAAGTCGTGTGGAAAAGTAAGGACACCCAAGCAACTCTTTTCCACGATCGACCACCTGGAATTTCTCGACACTGACTCTACTTAACTTCTCCTCCTTTAATTTATGAAATCCAATGGTAGCAAGGAACGAAAACTGAACGCGCGGTTGCCAGGCGGCCAAGCCATCTAGCACGCTCTAGCGCAAAACGCTGCTGAAGAGGCAAATCAAAAAAAGTTCTTGTGGTGAAGGGGAGCAGCATTGACTTAAAAGACGAGTCTCAAATGAGGAACCGGACCTCTCACCGCCCAAAAAAGGGTAACGCTACAAAATACGGACTGCCGCACTTTACTGTTGCCCGACTAGATTTACAGGGGAAGGAAATTTGAGGAGGGCAAAGGGAGTGATGAGCTTCATATTTGCTCACCTCGCTTGTTCTACAAAGAGCACTTGCTAGTATCTCATTTGATAGCTCCTCGATAGCATCACCCCTATAATAGGGGCATTTGCTTGCTGCCTTCTTTACAGTGGATGGATTCTGAATCAATATTTTCTTCATTACTGACCATGAGTTGATCAAAATAAGTGCATTAACGGGAACAAGTACCTCTTTTAAGTCCAATTTTACTCTCTTTCCTTCTAAAGCGCATCCTTTTCGAAGTTCCATACATCTTTCATTTATAAGATGACTGAACTTCAGTCTCTTGACGTCCTCATTGACACACAGTGTTTGACGTGATGCTGCTGTCACAACTCTGGGAGAGAATCTAAAGCTATCATTTCATCTTGACCAGAAGGGGATCCCACGATAAAGTCGGAGGTCGAGGAATAGGAAATATACCTATCTGAAAGATAGGTGAGCTCCCTAAGAGTGCAGGACGATGCGCGTTTTACAGTGAAGAGTATGCCCCAGCGGGCAAGCAGAGTCGTACCTGCGCCGCTTGTACCTCTGCATGCCCGCCGATTGGTAACCCCTCGCCGTCTGACTCAAGCCCCATAGCAGAGAGAGAGCGGTTAGTATTG